ATTTGAAAGTAAAAAGTTATATAACCATTTACCTAGTCTCTTTAAAAATATTACAAACTATCCATTATTTCGAAAGACCGTTAAAAATGCACTTGTGAAAAAGGCATTCTACAGTATACAGGAGTATTATGTTGACAATCTGGCTTAGTCCTGAAAATCCTTGAAGTTGTAATGTTGTCGCCATTGAAACTTCGGAACAGTTAGTGCAAGTCTAGTAAATCAGGAATATAAACACAAAGTAAGTAAATGAATAAAAATAGGAAACATTACTTGCGGGAAACATTCATCAACAAATAAAACTGAATCAGCAGCAAACACAACAAGAGAAAATTGACAGCCATTGAAAAATATAATAATTCATGAAAAATTTAATTTTTCATAATGCTCTCCTACCCTGTAGTAACAGCTACATCAATCAATTCATATAATAATTTGATTGTAAAAGTATCCACTAATATTTCTTATGGCTATAGTAAAATATGTCCAGTAATAAATTAACATTGCTTCATAATTTGATCTCGTTATAAAAAGTGACAGTCTGTTATAAAAATCTAAGCAAGTGTTCAAATGAGAACTTTTTGAATTTTTGAATTAGTCACTCCCATACAAATGAATACAAAGAACAGTGGCATGGCAAGTATCCTGATAGTGTATGGGTGTATGCTCAGTTAGTTATGAATGACTCAAGGTTCCTATGCACAAAAAGGACGACACATTTCGTAAATACTCCAGGTCGGTCAACACGCATTTCTTTTCAAAAAGTGGCCCGCAACTTTTTTGGAACCCCAGAAATGAAAACTCCAATGAAACCTCAAATTATCGTGTTTGAACTGATGTGGGAGTCATTGTTACTATCTTCATTCGGGTTCGAAGGCCATCAGGGTTTGGAACTGTATCCTAACGTTTCGCCATCACTAGTGGCTAGCTTCTTTTATTCATCTTGATGGTTCACCGATGACTAGTGATTTCTAGTTCGTAAGTTGTATTTATGTTCACTCAGGTAGCCCGCCTTGTTGATGCGTTGCTAGTGGGCGAAGCTGAATAAACCTCTGAAGAAGCCAGCCACTCGTGCTGGCGAAACGTTACGATATAGTTCCAAACCACGACGGCCTTCGAACCCGAATAAGATCGTAACAATGAAAATATTGGCCGCGATAGCCTAAATCAATTGATGTGGGAGTAGTATTCATTCGCAAAATAAACATTCAGCAGACCAAACCAATGAGTTAAATGTTTATTTCCATAAACCTATACAGTATTGGAAATTGTTAGTTTTTAAGTTACAGAAGTCATTAAAAAAATAAAAGTTCAGCAACACTGTTGAGAGATAGTACATTTATATAGTGCCATCTATTGAGTAAGGGTGTAATATCAGACATGGTAACTCTAATCTGTCACTCTTGTATTTCTGTTTCTAAGGAAAAAAAGATGAGGGACGTAGTTATTGTAATAGAAGAAGGTTGATGTAGATTTTAGAAAAGTTTTCTGTTTTATTATTCAGTATTGTTAATATAGTTATTAATGGTAAAGCCATCGTCGAAGTTTTATTTCCACAAAAAACATACATTTTTAACAAACACAAACTGAATGAACTATATGATTTCTTGTTGGATAACTGCTACAGTATGGATGAATTTCTTGCTTTTAGTGCTTAGATAAATGACTTAGTTGATTTTATACATGAAGTCTTCTCTGTTAAGTTTGTCCAAGATCAAACATTTGTGTTTTGCTTATAGCGTTTTACTTTTGACTAGTCCAACACGTTTTCTTAGTCTTGTAATTATGTATGTGTGAAAATTTTAGTGATGAATAAAACTATTTCTATTTCTATTGAACCAACCTGAACACTTGAGTAATAGTGGATGATCCAACTCTCATCTTGTTGTTGCTCCACTGTCCAATTGTATTACTGCTTTGATTTGAAGGAGCTGATTCAGGTAATGCTGGAAAAAGATCATCGTAACTAATGGAAGGCTCGTAAGCCGCGCCTTCTTCCATCACTGGTTGCTGCATTTTAGGAATGTCCTGATTCGTGCCAAGTCGTTACAGCAACACTAAAGAATGAAAAAAACACTTTCAAACACTTTTTGTTTAACAATTTTGATGATGTTTGTGTTTAACAAGATATCAGTTCCTAAGAGATGGTCTAAAAAATTATTTGGATATCTGATGAAAACTCAGGTGGAATAAACTTATCTTTTTTTACATGAGACATTAGCATCTGCAATAAAATACGTAGCAATAGCAAAAGTTGGTTGTGTCTATCTGAAAAACTGGAGAGCCAGGTTCAAATCATGGTCAGGTCACATTTACAATTTAGTTTTTCATTTATATGTATACATACTGCAAATTTAATCTCACCTTGTTTTAGTAAATTCATTTGAATATATCGCAATTAGATTAGACAAAGTGCTATGAAATTTATGGCTTTGTCAGAATACAAAGCCGTAAATTCACTTAAAGACTAATATACCCTCAGGTTAAACAACCAAAAATCAAGAAATAGGTAACTCTAACATTTTTTGGAAGAAGAACAGAGATAATTGCGGGTTTCTTCAGAAAAAACAATGTGGAAGTGGAATTCAGACCACATGCCAGGTCATCTGATTTCCTTTTCAATGCCAAAGATAAGGTGGACAAGTTGGAGAATTCTGGGGTGCTATATAAGGGCTAATGTAATAAACCATTGTTAGTTTAATGTATAAGTTTGAAAATGTCAATATAGGACAAAACTGCAGTAACGTTAGTTACAAATTAAAGTGGCAAAAAACATAGAAAGTTTCAATTCTCTTTTCTTCATTATTTTATCGGTATTAAAATAAACATTAAGTTTTTACACAGGTCAATACAGCACAGAAAAACCATTAGTTTTAATGCACTCTCCATCATATGCGAAAATAAATTAAGACCAACAATACAGTATTGAAATTTTTAATCTTTTGACAAATGAGCAACTTTTAGTAATCAAATTGTTGACTATGACATTTAGATTTTTACGTTACTTACATTTTTGTAAAACTACTTTATGCAGGGCAGTGTATAGTGACATTAATAAATTACTTATGTATAATTACCTATTTATACTTTACTAGGATTCAGAATTTTCAAATGTAGATACTTGCCAACATTTTAACCTTCATTGACAACTTTTTTAGGAGTAAAAATGAGTACATGTGGTTTATCTCCATGCTAAATCGTTTTGTTGAATAATATATACACACACATTTTCGTAATTCCTTGAATTTCAAACACGACTTCTTTCAATTACCTTCTCAATACAGTGTTAGTGCTCACGGAAATGTTTTTTTTTTAATGAAACAGACCATATTTTGGAGCGCTTTTGAATTCATCTGCCAGTTTTCTTATGATATCCAATATGAAAGATAGAACTAAAACCTCTGGAATAAAATGAATCCAAAACAAATACTGTTCCAAAACACCGTAACTTGAGATTAACAGAATATTTATTCAAAACCTAAAAGTCCTAAAAAGTGATTTAGTGCGGGTCTTGTGACAAATTATAGTAATGTTTGAACTTTTAGTTGTCTTCAAACTTTTACCAGTTGAATTCATCAATTTTCTTTCTGAGAATCTGAAATTTGTATGAAGGCAACCCTAGTTAATGGAACTGGCAAAATAAATTATGAAGTTCAAAATACTATGATGCACCAAAATATGTGACCCAACAGTATTTATCAAACTTTTTTTGAAGTTACACATATGTGATCTTTACAAGTTTTGTTCGAGAATTACTGATATGGAAAAAGTATCTGGTATAACATGGACATGCATAAATCCCTTTTTATCTTCCTAAAATAAAATTGCAACTAATGTCGATTCATTAATAATGCAACATTGAACAACTCATGGGGCCGAATTCCAAATTGATGGCGAGTTTTGAAACATATGGATTGAAAAACCACATGTCACGAAAAATTATAAAATTTAAATTTTTAAAAGGAGATACATCCTAATATTGTAAATCAAATCCATACAATGAATGAATAAGTACATTTAATCCAGTTTCAATTTGGAAGACAGTTAACCCAGTCGACGTGTCATGCAATATTCCAACATGTTGACCTAAAATCAATTATTTGGATCACTTACTGTACTGTAAAAACAGAAAATCCGTCCTAGAAAATTCTAAATCCTTATAGAATCTCCAGTTTTACTTGGTACACCTATAACATAAAAATACTATCACAAAAGTAAAAACTTCACAACGTTACGACGTACCCACTGCCAAGTAGAAAATGAAGAAGTTTCAGAGTTTTAGTGGTGTGCTTCAGTCACTTCTAGCTAGAGAAGAGAGAACATAACAAAACAAACTCGCGTCTAGAGACAGCAATCGTATTGTTCAGATAAACTTATCTATATATTACTGGAATTTATCAAAATACGAAATTGTACAATATCAACAATCTTCAAATAAATCAATTCAATCAATGAAATCTTTCATTGTAAATTCATTCAGAATATGTTGGTTNACAACCTACCGGAATATGTCAGAAGTGAAAATAATATAAGAAAATTCAAAAGGAGCCTCATAGCTCATATCAGAAGTAGATCCAGGAGAGAGATTCGTGAGTTGATTGAAATACAATAATGATAATGATAATAATCATAAATATAGCTACACATCGCTGAGTGATTGTCAAGATAATACTGGCAAACCATAATTGAATGATGCTGTCTTGTTTCTACAATTCAAATTTTACCTTTTATTCTTCTTGTTTTTTATACAAATCTCTTAATTTTCATTATTGTTTTTATATACTTATATACAACCTATGTGATAGAATATTGTGTTTAGTGTACTAAATTAATTATTGTAAAAGATGTAAATATGTGTTGTGTTACCACGTACAAGTTGTTGAAGCTCTCAACAACTTCTGTTGGTTCATTGTAATGTTTATTGTTTTTAACGTGTATTACTTCAGTATGTTCATTTACTATCAATAAACAACATTCATTCATTCATTCTACCTTTGGCTAACTATAACAACATCTAGATTCAACATGATGGTGCTCCACCGCACTCTACCTTACGAGTATCTAATTACCTGACTGAAAGGTTTGGTGATAAATGAGCAAGGTCTGCAGATTCAAGTGTTATGGATACATTCTTATGGGGTACACTGAAAAATAGAGTTTATGGTCAGAGGGAATACCAAAATATTGAGGACTTTCAACCCAGTATTGTTAGAGAGTTCGGAAGATTGAGGAGGAGGGAAATTAAACATGCAGTGAATAATATTCGAAGAAGGGCACAGTTGTGTTATCATGAACAAGTCCAGCATTTCGAGTATGCTGTGATTTGAAAATCTGTTTAAAAATCTGTTTTTCCGTTAACCAGCTGTCGCACCCCTACGAACGACAACCCTCAGAAGTCAAAACTTGTGCAAGCTAAGGATTAACGAGGTCTTACCTTTTAACGTGTGATTCTTAACACGGGTTGGACAATAGCAAGTGAAAATCGACCGTTCAGACTAGGGCTTGTTGGCAGACTAGGCCGTGTTGGTCAGTGACCAACACGGCAGTCAATTCGAGTGAGAGAACAAAGCACCCACGTTGAACCGCCTGGCTACTGTCCTTACTTTTGTCTTTATTTAGTTAATTATTGTTATTTGTTGAAAGTTATATCTTCATTAAAAAGGATTTTGTCTCCGTATTTTTCATTGGCTTTTCAAACGAGATTTTGATCCAATAACTTGAACATAGTTCGATTCAGTTGTCGTCTTTCGGGATACAAGTTTAAATACATTTCGGATGTCCTAACACTGTTTCTATAGTATTTGTAATAAAATTGTATCATATCTCTTTTTTTTTCATTCGTGAAAGCCATTTTTCGCCAAAAATTCAATGATTTGTACAATAACAAAATGTCATTGAGTGTAACAAATTGAAAGTCAAATTTAGAAACACTAAAGTTAAAGCCGATTATGATAAGAATTAATTTTTTTCAGTGTTTTCAATTTTTCAAAAAAGAATGATAACTTATGATACATCATTGAAAAGGTGAAATTTGGTTCTAATCAAAACAGAAATAATCCAATGTAGCGCCCACAAGAAAAAAAAAATTATAATGGTGGCCGGAAGATGAAACGCCGGATAGCAGGGAAATAGTAGCAATGTAAAAGTGCAATTAATGTGGCACTGTGGAAGTGCAATTCATTTTCGAATCCTTCGAAAAATGAAGCCAGAAAAAAATAAAAACCATTTTCCGAAATTTCTGTTTT